GCTTAGTACCTGGGCCTTGCACTTAATAAGCTCATCCAGGTGCACTCAACAGCCGGCTGACGCCCCATTGCACAGAAATCCCTATGTGGGCCCCCGCGGCCACCAGGGGGCCCCACACGCTACTCCTGAGCCCTACCTAGACTGGGCAGTGCAAGGATGGGGCTCGTCTCAGAACTCAGAGCCTGCTCAGGGCTCAGCTAACAGTTCCATCACCCCTCCATCAGTGCTCCTATAGTATAGTAAGGAGACAGATCACAATGAAAAAGATTACCTACCCCCTGCTTTCAAGGAGTGTCGTTCTGATGGGGGATGGCAGATGAGGCTGAAGGGCAGAGAGAGCCCTGAGCTGGGCCTTTGTAATTTGCCGTAGGCTGAATAGAAGGAGGGTGACCCTCTCCTTCAGACCCTCAGCCCTTTACTCCAAATAGCTTAGCTCTTCGCATTAAATAGGCCTTAATATGGGAGCTCTGATAGCCTCATCTGCAGGGTGTCGCACTGCTAGCCCAAAGGCAGTGCTCTGGTTGTTCAAATCCACCAGTGGCTCCTGTAAAAAGATGGGCAATCTCCTTCAGTGTGATTTAAAGTCTTGGAAAGTTCGGGGGAGGGTCAGCAATGAGTCGGTTCCAACTCCATTGGCAATGTGTGAATGCCACCTTATTAAAATAGGTAAGTTGAGAGAAAGGAAAAAGAAAAAGAGGTTGGTCAGGTATCATAATTAAGTCTTTATATTAATCTACTGTAGTTAATGTTCTAAGCAGGAGTGGCATCCACTTCCTAAACAACATGCCTCTGGAAACTCTATGAACTTTGATAAATGTCAATAGTTATTGAAGGGCTTCAGGCCTTTTGTTCATAGGGTCACTATGAGTTGTGCTTGACTCAAAGGCAATCAACAACAAGTTAATGTTCTAAAAAGGTGTGTGAATTGACTGAATGAATAATAATTGCAATACAATGTTATAAATTATACAATGACAAACCAACATGAATTTTAAACTTTGAAGTTAAAAAAGTAACTAGGAAAACAACAACAAAAAATTGTTGGAAATATATTTTTTTAAAAAAGAAACTGAAAGATGGTATTGCCTTGGGAAAAAAAAAAAAACCCAAAAAAAGAAAAACATGCTTACACCTCACCTGAAATATTTTTTTTTACCTGAAGTTTTGAGGTTGGCTCTGTATCCCAACACCCCAGTGTGGGGGGGGGGCGGGGGGGGGGGCTGTCCCAAATACCCATAACAAACACTTCAGCCTTCATAATGGGTGTGGTCTGCCTCTTTAGTTTCAGTCTCTCAGCCTAGGCCTTCAGAAACTCAAACCCCCATCTCAAACACCTCATCTGCCCTCCTTAAAAAGTAAAACGAAGTATCTCGGGGATTCATTTAATCTATGATTTTCTTTTTCTGCTCTGAGACAACGCAGGATAGGAAAATACTCCCACCATCAACAGGGCTCAGTTGGCAAGAGTGGGAGGGACAGTGATTTGGAAAAACCCACTGGCTTTTTTGCTGTCTTCTGTGCTTATTCACATGTTTTCATTTGTTCTTGTTACTCTTTTCTATCCCCCAATGTCCCCTGTTTTTCTGGTTTCAAATACCTCACCAATAATGATTATCTTGGAGTTAGTTCCTCAGTGAAAGGCCTGACCTCATCATTCCTAACTCTCGAAAACTATTCATAGGTCCTTACAATAAGAGGGGGTCCTCAGAAATGACTGCTGATTTCAAACTTTGTTCTGGTAAGGTCTCCTTTCTTCCACAAAATTCCAGGTGGAACCCTAATGTGAAGTAGCAGCTGGTACATAAACATGTAACCCCCGGGGATTTGTAGGATATAGATTCAAAATCTCTCAGGGACCCAAGATAGAATTCCCTTCAGAATTTATTTTATCACATCCCCAACAAGTGGGTAGCTATTCTGTTTTCAGGGACTTCCTCCCCCTAACAGTAGAACACCTCATTTTCAACCTCCTACTCCATTTTCCTAAGGTATGAAGAATAAATATCCTCTTACCCTAAAATTATGTTCCAAAATTGGGGAGGAATGCTAGTCTCACTGTTTCAAGGAGTAGTTAGTTCCATGTCAGAACCTTCAGAGACAAAGATGGGCAGAAAGGTGAGGGTCCCACCCCATGTGACCTCACTGGCAGTTCTCAGAGCACTGATTTCCTGTGTAATTCCCTGTTCCCAGTGCTGTGGGCACAGGCTGAGTGCTGGCTCTGCCCAGGGGACCGGCTGCAACCAGAACAGCGCAGCCTGTGGACCCCAGGAGGTTGCCATAGATACTGATGCGCAGGGAGCTGGTGAGCTCGTTATTATTTATATGTATCTTCCTTCTAATTGCTGTGGGGTAGCTGGAGGTTGTGTGGGTGCTACAGCAATGGGGTTCAAAGAGGGTGTGTGTGAGTGTGTGCATTTGTGTGTGCACACAGAAGTGTCTGGAGACTGCTCCAGATTACCACCACAAACACGTCAGCATCTGTTAAGAGAGAAATGGAAGGGAGAGATGAGGTAGCAATAGAAAGGGGAAAGGAGAGAATGGATAATTTCTTTCTAACTATATGAATTCTAATTTCCCACCTTTTTGGATGTTCCAAAAAAAAAAAAGAGGCTGTACAAAACACACAGTAGACAGTTGATAAATGTGTGCTCAAAGCCAGCTAGCTGCTCTTACAGGACAGGTAGTCATCAATAGAGCTTCTCTCCAATAGTTTTCTCATCATGCTCCCTTCTATCTCCTCAATGTAAAATGCTTTGTACAGTTACTCTGAAATCCCCAGAGTGGAGTCCTCATTTTCCTACAACATTATAAGCCCCTCACACAGGGCATGTGAGAACGAGCAGGGCTGTAGTCTTGTTTTTACTTTCCTCCTGGGATCCCCTCAGGGAACTCCAGGGCAGCCCCAGTCTGTGCTTGTTCTGACCTCTCTGTCTCCTCACTCTACCTCCTTGCATTCATGAATATAAAGTTTCAAGGATCAGCGTCTGGAGGTCAGGAACCGAGTCACCTTGAGAGCTCTGGAGGGTACAGTGATGGTTAAGTGATATGCCACCCCATAGCTCTGAGCTTCTTGTCTTTATCCAGAGCAAAGAGAACAGTTCCCATTCCTGGGGAGCAGTCTGAGTAGCCACGCTTCTCTGCCTCTCAGGTGGATGACTGAAACTTAAGACTTCCTGTTATCCCCACATACACTCTTATTGTTCTGCATCATTCTGGGACCTGGGACCTGATTCTCACCCCTGTGTTCTGAGATAAGAAATGGCCTTACTCCTCACTGCTTGACTTCCTGTTGCCCTGGGGAAGGGTGGGGCATGGTTCTCTGTCACCTCTACCCTTTCTTCTGGCTCGCCCTATCCTCCTTCCAGGAAATCTGTTAATGTGTTTCCTCTTGGGCTGTATTCCTTCCTAAGACCCAGTCACCCCTATTGAGGGATCTAGTTCTGAGAGACCAGCTTCCAGGACTGTTAGGTAAAGAAAGGAGGGAGCCTTCCCTGGAGTTTTGCCCCACCCAACCCCTAAGGAGGCGTCCTAAGAGGCTGGGATGCCTCTCTGCCTCTCGCCTGCCTCCTCTGGCAGAGAATCCTGCTGACAATGGAGGCCCAACTCCCACTGGGCGACCTACTGTAATCAAGACTGAACTGCAGCACTTCCAGGCAGCTCTGTCCTGCCCAGCCCAGTTAAGGCTGATTGGGGCATGGCTGCCTCAACAGGGTAGGAAGCTACTCCGGGGAAACAGTTATGTGCCTCTGTCCCACAACCTGTAATAGTTAGGACAGAGGAAAGGGTAGCAGCTCTCTATCTGGCCCCAAGGAGCACCCCCACCCCATTCATTCCATAGACTGGTTACACAAGGGTGAACAAAGGAGGTAGAATTGGCCCTGTGGCAGCCTACAGTTTAGAGGGAAAGAAAATATTAAATAATAATAGCGAACACATATAATTAAGATCAGGTGTTGTGCTAAGTGCTTTACATGATTTCATCTATCTAGCTTGCAACTCTATGGGGTACATACAATTATTCCCAGTTTTCAGATAAGGTAATTGAGTCACAAGAAAGATTAAGTGACTTGCCTAAAGTGACTTGACTGGTCAGTGAGTGGATTAGAATTCAAAGCTAAGCATTCTGAGTACAGAATGCAGACTTTCAACAGCTGAGTTCTGGTTCCACTCATTCTGAAACCAATAAATATATAATTACAAAATGTGATAAGTGACACAAAATAAAAGTACAGGGTGCTCTGCAAGAAAATGGTGATGCTTCCTCCTTCCTATCACTTGCTCTGATAGCCCCAATGCACTAAGCCCTTTTGTAAGCTTTCCCACATCATCCTTTTTATTCCTGACCTGGGAGAGAACATTCCCTCTTCTTTAAGGTCGAAGGCAGGGAGGCATAGTTTCACCTGCATCCTGGCCTGGCCTCCCTGATCACATAGTGCCTGAAGAGTTTCTTCCAATAATGGCCCTGATGCTTGCTCAAGTCCAGACTGTCAGCTCCCCCCAGGGAAAGCTGCTGGGACCTGGACCTACACAGACTGGGGGCGCCTCTCACGCGTGCAGTCTGACAGAGGCTCTTTGACCTTGGCCTGCTCTGCTCATCCTGCGAGTTGGGCTGGGGGTTAGAATCCCCGCTTGAGTCCTTCTCAGGGAGACCTGGGTGCGCCAACCCGCTTCACCCCAACACACGCCACCTTCGCGCGCAATGTCCCGAGCCCGGTCGGGTTTGGCCTGGTACGAGCGCACAGGTCGAGAACCTTCCAGCTCCCTCCACCCGGGTAGGCGGCGGCGCGCGGCCCCCC